ACTAATCAGAAACCTGTCTCTTTTCCTTATAAAGAAGAGATTCAGCGTGGGTCAACATATCTGAGGGATAGTTGTGGGATTTGGCGCTAAATCCCACCGAAATAGTCCGTCGAAGCCTCGGATTGCGAGTATCACTCTCGTCGGTGGTCACGAACGTCAGCCTAAAGCTTCTTCTCTGAGCAACCAGAGTCGGTCTCATTTGAGCTGATTGGTGGTCAGCCTCGTTTTCGTGACCTGCCCAAAATTCAGGGGTAATATTGAGAGCCGATCCGAGCAATCCAACCAGCTCCTCACTAGGCGATTCATCCGAGACGAGATAGACATAACGAGTAAAAGTGGACCGCTCACGCCCACGCAAGTGCTGCCTCAAGGCCCGTATAGACCCGAGGGATTGGGCTCTTCTTTCGTAGAGGTCGTGGACGACAACCTCGATCGGCTCATCACGAAGCCATTCTCTGCTGTTACTTCCGGAAACTTGGCTTTCAGGCTGGCCATCTCCGGATTCGGCCGTGCGCGCTTCAGTCCGCGATTCTGTAGTGGTTCGAGACCCAGAGAGCGCCGAGACACGGGATATATATTCTCTGGCGAGCTGGATATCTTCGCCGTTCTGTTCTTGTTGAGAGTCTTCCCTCGCCAAAGAGCCACTTTCTGCAGGAACATGACCGGTTTGCTCGATAACTTGCGAACTAACATTGATGGTTCGGGTCGCCATAATATGAGTATCGCCTCTTATTAAGTAATAAATGGATTGAGGAGGTGAGAGCTGCTCAAGTGAGCGATGGAAGGGTATAGAACAGAAATCGTGGTGGGAAACCTCTGCCCTGTCGGTGTACACAAAAACTGTGAGGAGCGCGAGAGAAGGCGTGCGAGCATAAAAAGTGTCTATTTAGTAGCAAGACATACCAGTAAGTGAGCGTACGCCTTACATTTATTTGTTTAATATGCGGAGCCCAATTGTCAAGGGTGCTACAACCGAGGCGCTTGTTACGGACACGAGGCTTTTCCGTAGGCATTCCGTAGGCTCCCCGACACTGCCTGCTCTTGAGCATCTAGAGAAATTACGTGGCGCAAGGGCTTCGGCCTCGACAGGGAAAACAGAACCGATCCATTATCTGATTCGTTTTCAGCTACTCCAACGTGCCACAGCTCTTCTTTTTCCCCGAGAGTCTCCTTTGTGCCCCCCTGCGGTACACAACTCAAGGATCGAGCTATTTTAACAACTTTTGTTCTGTTGTTGTTCACTACTCATCCGCTTCCAAACACCACCAATTGCTCGCATCAGCCCCTGCTCGGGCCGCTATTGGCCCTGCAGGCTAAGTAGCACATGGTGAGATAGATGCCAATTGAATATGGCATCTTGGAAGGTCAGACGTCTTTCTTATACAATTGGGCGCACGCTGGTGGCTATCTTGCACTCCCGTTAACAAGTTGTAATATCAAACTTGTTGGCTGTAATGGCGGGACAGATCCGGTATCTGCGTATCAGGTCGTGGTCCTCCTGAGTTGTGCCTCGATACCGAGTCAAAGCTCCGACTTTGACTCGTTCAGATTTGCCCAGCGTTCAAGTTTGCATGTTATCGGCAATCCGAAAAGGCCCGGACATTGCAGGCAACGGATCGAGTTCGCCTAGGACGGGAGGGTGGCGGACGAGAGCTTTCAAAGAATTTATCGGGACATCAAGGCGGGGTGCACCAGTGGTACGCTCTGCTTCAGCCCCAGTTGGACTAGAACCCATTGGACGTACCAATGGCGTGTCGCTTCACAATGCAGGAGCAGAGAACGGTTTAAAGCCTCACTGAGATGGATGGATTGATACGATTATCCTGGCCGCTAGAAGGAAGTTGACGCAGGTATCCTAATGTTCATAGCCAGTGATCTGAAGCACATTCATAACGGATACCGTAAAAGTGCCAGATGGCTTCGCGTGATCTATCCAGAATATACCTGTTGTACCCAATCCCCGACGTTCTTCCAAACTAACCTACCCCAGACTCGTGTCTGCAAATAATGTAAGAATTTCACCAGAGGACTCCGCCCTGTCAGATCCTCGTCACACGCATTGCTCTCAACATGCTGGAAAAGCCCGCTCGTGGCTGCGAATGGAGTGTCACATGTCGGGCACTTGTAATCATCATCGTAACAAGTGTAATGTTTCGACTAATAACACTCTAGTGCGAGGGAGGGGATGTCGTCATCGCTTACGCCGGACTCACAGTAGCTAGTCTCGAGCAGCGCTCCTGAGATGATCTCATATCCAGCCGAGAAATCAAAGAGCATGATCCACGCCATTCAAGCAAGTCGAGATACCTTAAACTGGATCAAGTTCTTCTGGGATCAAGGCGGGAAAGCTGCGCGCGGCCTTTCCCTAGTTGCCCAAGCAGATCTGCCATATAATTCCAAGACCAATAAAGAGGAGTACTATCAGTTGACTAATATCAAGGGCTCGCATGTGGATAGCTTCGCACCAAACACTCTTCTCTTAGCAACAAAAGTACTACCTTGCACGTCCCAATCCATTGTGTGTTCGACCCGGCGCTAGCAGAAGGCGTCGATGGCGGTTTTGCTGCTGGCGCGACGGATGCTGGTGTAGGCGTAGCGAATGACTCTCTCCTTTAGGCCAACTCGACGTAACTTAACACTAATTTTCTATACTTGAGCGTTCATGAGATGACGGTGGTTGGTAAGACTACAACGACTAGCTTCTACGGTCGGGAGCCGGCCTATAGCTTTTGGCACGGCTGTAGCCAGAGTGAACGGTAAGGGTACGTTGAGGCTCTGCGATATCCGGGGGACTATGATGGCATCTCGGCAAACTCCCTAGGAATCAATTGGGATCGCCTCCTCCCGGGATTCCTATGGCCCTATCTCCAACAACTTCAGACTCCTCTCGCGGCCTGTAAGTTCACGGCTATTACCGCCGCGTCCGTCTCGGCGTGCGATTTGCTCGACGGGGGCGCGGATGGACTCATCGCCTATCCACCAGCCTGCGATTTCAGCACCCAGAGTCTCGTCGGCGAGCCAGTTCCGGTGTACGACAGCGATAAGATTACCGACGCAGAAGAAGCCGCTGCTTGGAACAATATCCGAGCGGGAGCAAAGGACAAGGGGGAAACCCCCTATGGTACAGAGTCGAACCGAGTACCGACTTTTCATTTCTTACCTTAGCATCTTTCCCACCAGGGGAACAATGATTAAAGGACTTTATCTTAAAGAAATCAGATTATAATACTTCTAGCCTCACCTACGGACAGTACCTGGACGATTTTGCCACGTCTACAGCTGAGTTTGGCGAGCTCTGGGGCTCGCCCGACGCCGACCTGTCGCCGTTCAAGGAACGCGGCGGTAAATTGATCACCTTCCACGGGTGGTCTGACCAGTCAATTCCAGGTAACAGCACGATCAAATACTAGAATCGCGTCGGCGAGGCTCTTAGCTCCGGCTCGACAGGCTCGGCAGGAGACCTCGTCGACGATTTCTATCGCCTTTTCATAGCACCTGAGATTACTGATCTCACATTTCTGCTGCGTTTAAAACGCCATTCTTTATTGTTATGATTAGAATCGAAGGGTTCTTGATTCAAGCCATACTATATCTTGCTTGGCAATGTTGCACAGCCACATATAACCCTAGCTCGTGCTGGGAGCAACTGCCGCAGACAGATTTCATCGGATCACACCTCGGACTTTTCACTTGTGGGGATGAGACGGTTTTTACGAGACCATTTACCAATCCTGGAATTTTGACGCCCACAACACCCAATCAGGTTCACGGGAGATGATGACAAGAACCCAGCGATGGATGCGCTTGATGTTGATCCCATCTCAGCTGCTTTCCCCAATCTGTCCTCTCGTAACCGTTTTGGAGTAGCCGCTCAGCTCGCCTTGCCTCCGGCCAGGGGATGGAGCCATATTGTGCACTAACGTCGTCTAAATCGCTATTGACACTGCAGAAGCATGCAACCCTCGGTCAGACAAGAGGCAGAATGCTCACCAAAATAGCTGAAATCTATATGTTAGTCACGTATTATAAGCACCTTGAAGCGCGAAACCGCGATGTGTTACATAAAGTGCGATCCTGCTCATTACCCTCTCGAAGTACCTGCTTTTTGTCATATCTTGCTCTCGTGTTGGTCTGATCTCTCACGGCTCTCTTGCCTTCGACATTGCCTGTACAATAATCATCTTGGCACCATTGCACTATTGTCGGAGATGGGTAAGACTGCTGAATATGGCCGACGCCTGGTACCACGCATTCTAGACGAACTCGCTCGTGACGAACCTGATCATGTCCTGTACTGCATCCCCAAGAATGACCAGCTAGACGATGGGTTTCGAGATATAACCGCCCGTGTGTTTGCCAATGCCGTCAATAGGACCGCACGCTGGCTGGAAGGCGAAATTGGAAGAAGCGATGTTGCGAAGACAGTTGCATATGCTGGTCCCCGTAGGCGATTTCCTTGATTCCTTGGCCATGTGTCTTCTCAGCTAACATTTATTAGACGATCTCCGATATAGCCTCGTCACATTTGCATGCGTCAAGACGGGACATACAGTAAGTGTCGGCCAAAAGGTCTGACGTGCAAGAAACCGTTGCACCTCTCCACCCCTGTATTGTGTCTTGTTAGAGATCTTGGCTTGAGGAACACTCTTAAGGGACTAGCCGACACTCACTAACAGTATAGTTAGATACTATGCCTCTCTCCTCGCAATAGCCTCGAAGGCCAGCTCGGTGTGATGAAAGCAGCTAATTGCACAACCCTCGTCCTACCGGCTCAGTATTCTGAGTCTATGTCCAAAGTCGCGAGTCATGATTTCCTCACAGTCTTGACAATTCCGGAGCAGGACTACTTGCTGCGCGACGAAACAGTTGCGGAGTACCCCTATAACAAGTCTTTCGAAGAGGCTGTAAACGATCCGTTATACATAGTCCATACCTCGGGCTCGACGGGCGTGCCCATACCTATTGTTTGCACTCATGGTCATCACTCCGTGTTAGATACCATGCCGAGAGCACCACCCGATGAGGATGGTATCCCTGTTCGTCACAGGTTCCCTCCTAATATTCGGATCATGAACACCGCGCCCCTGTTTCATGTATGTGCATCATAGCATCGCCAAGCTAGTGTTCATATTACTAAATAGATGATAGCAATTGGGATTTTGCTTTGGGGTTACCCTTCCTATCATACACCATAGCACGAGCGTATATGGACCATCGAACGGCATTCCAAATCTGGCTGTGGCGGAGAAAGCCTTGGATCATCTGAAGATCGAAGCCTTCGTCTTTCCGCCGCCACTAGTTAATGCGCTTGCGAATCAGCCATCGCTACTAGAGCGATTTCGGGACGTCGACTTTATCGTTACTGGTGGAGGTGAGTAATATCACTACCGTCAATACGAGGATGCTAGGAGCTTACTCGAGAAAACAGGTCCGGTCCCTGAAGCTGCTGGCATAAAGGTTGCGGAGATAACTAGTCTGAGAAACCTGATCGGCTCAACGGAGAGCCAAATCCTATTGTCATACGACATCTCCACCCCGAAGGACTGGAAGTACTTCCGATGGCACCCACAAGCTGGCATCGATATGCGCGAAGTTGCGCCGGGCCTCTACGAGCTATGGATTGTCAAGCAGCCAGACTCGCCGTATCAGGCAATCTTTCACGCCTTCCCGGAGCTGACAGAGTATAACATGCGTGACTTGTACACCAGACATCCAGATCCGAATAAGGCGGATTATTGGAGTCCTAGCGGCAGGTCGGATGATATCATTGTTCTCGGAAACGGCGAGAAGATCCAACCGCTTGATATGGAGAGCATCATCAATAGCCACACAGGGGTGACGGGGTCGTTGATTGTAAGTGTCCGGGCCGCCTTCAAAGAGAGAGCTGATAGAGATTCTAATGACAAATGGTAGATTGGATCTGGAAAATTCCAAGCAGCAGCGTTCATCGAGCTCAAAGTCCCACTACCAGAAGGGACCGAGGACCGTGCCAAGTTCGAGGATAGCGTTTGGGAAACGGTGCAGAAAGCCAATGCCATCGCACCATCACACGCCCAGATTCACCGAAACCACATCATGTTCGCTCCTTTAGGTAAATCCTTCTTACGCGCAGATAAAGGCACCATTAAACGACGAGCAACGGTTGAGCTGTTCGCATACGAGATTGACCAGTTCTACGACAGCCGAGAAGACGAATACGCGGAAGAGGTTCTTGCCGGGGTCGACGTTGACTCCTTGGATTCTATCATCCCTGGGGTACTCAAGTTGATTTCGCGGGTTGCGCAGATTGACCATCTCGAGGTGCAGGATAACATCTTCGCTGCTGGTCTGGATTCGCTCATGGTGTTCCGTGTTCTCGGTGCACTTCGCGGCGTGGCCAGGGGTCGCGGTCCTGGCTATGAGAAACAGCTGAACGAGTTGCGGCCATACTTTGTTTATGCTAACGCTACGGTAGAAAGGCTCGCTGGTGCTTTCTATGACCTATTGCATGGGTCTAATCAGACTGATCTAAATGGAAACAAAGCGAGCGACAGCTCCTTGCAACGGACCAGACTGCTTGAACAAAGCAGGATTCTACTTGAGAAATATACGGCTGAACTGCCTGATCCTGTCACCAACAGAGGTTCTCGAGATGCGTCGAGCGAAGTATCGGTAGTTCTTACCGGAAGTACAGGGTCGCTTGGTTCTCATCTCCTAGACTCGCTGGTACAAAATCCCAAAGTCCGCAAGGTCATATGTCTGAATAGATCAAAGGATGGTAGATCAAGGCAGTCTGAGTCTAACCGTTCACGGGGCCTGTCCGATAACTGGTCTGAAGATAGGGTTCGTTTCTTCCAAGCGGATCTGTCAAGGCCCGAACTCGGCCTCACGAGAGATGTGTATGATGACCTTCTTGAGACTACAACACTGGTTATCCGTATGTGCTTCAACACCTTTTAGAACCAGGGGAGACACCATAGGCTGACACTATTCTCAGATAATGCATGGCCCGTTAATTTTAACTGGGATATAGAATCATTTGAGCCGCATATTGCCGGCGTCCGGAACTTTGTAGAGTTTTCTCACAAGAGTGCAAAGGACGCCCAGATATTCTTCATATCCTCAATTGGGTCCACACTACAGTGGAAGTCCAGCGACCCCGTACCTGAGGAGGTCGTCCAAGACCTCTCTGTGGCCAAGGACTCTGGCTACGGAGCATCGAAACTTGTCTCTGAGCTTGTACTGGATGCAGCAGCCGCACAGTCTGGAACTAGAGCGTCTATCTGTCGGATTGGTCAAGTTGCAGGACCTGTCACGAGGGGTGTCAGGGGTCAGTGGAACAGACAAGAGTGGCTTCCTACCGTGAGCATCAACCACCTTGCGTAAGCGGAATGAATTGTCCCTAACATGTTTCGCAGATAATTGCTACTTCCATATATCTAGGAAAGGTGCCATCTAGTCTTGGTGCATTGGATCAAGTAGATTGGATACCAGTGGATATCCTGTCCGACCTCATTCTCGAGTTGGCTGGCGTTCCACAGGCATCCGTTCACACGAACGGGAACGGCACGCAGTCAACCGATATTCAGAAGAACGCCGAGAAACGGTACAAGGTCTACAACGTGACCAACCCTCAGACGGCGCCATGGTCCTCGCTCGTACCGGTGGTGAATAGTCACCTCCACGAAAATCTTCAAATTGTTTCATATGGAGAATGGCTAGATGCTCTCCGCCAAGCTAGTCACGACGTGACCTCTGCCACAGCAAAGAACAACCCCGGTCTGAAGCTGCTCGAGTTCTTCGAGTCACTTCAAGGTGACGCGGGGAGCTTAGCACCGCCGCTGACGATGAGCGGGACTTTAGCTAGTAGCCCAACTTTGCGTGGCCTTCAAGCAGTGGATGGCCGATGGATGAAGCTTTGGCTGGAACAGTGGGCTTTCTAATAAGCAGGGTGGTGTGGTTGACCGGAGTCCTTCTAAGGTATGAATGGTGAGAGGGGTATGCTCAGGGCATTATTTGGGAAACACGTATGCCTGTTGAAGAAGGGTTTCGCATTACGCAATTCCAAATCTAGTATGTTACCTAACGGCTTGACAACTTGATGTTATTAACATCACGCCCACTAAGTCCCGGTTTTCTGCAAAGGATGTTGCCATAAATACACAAGGCTTCATCTCGATAGATTACTATGAGAAGATAAGTAGAGCACCTGATTTGCTCGGTACTTGGACCTATAAAAGCCACAGCCTTTTGTCACGCAATCTAAGCCGAGGCGAGGGGTTCTTCGAGCCTTCCCGCCTTTCCTCCGCCTTCCTGTCTCTTCTCCTGACATCTCTTCACGCAGAAAATATCTCAAGCCTCCGGCTAACTATCAGTCGCTTCTCTAATCCCACGTTATTCTTCCACATTAAGACGTCTTTTCCCTGAGCTAATTAGCGGCCATGGAGGCTCTAGCGGCCATCGGCCTTGTATCCTCTATCATCACATTTCTTGACTCCGGTGCGAAGATCATATCCATGGCCCAACAACTTCACTCTTCGCACTCAGGCGCAACCAAAGAGAATGCAGACTTAGCATTATATGCCCAAAGAATCAAGGAGCAAGCAGGTGTCCTCTTGAAGAGCCCTACCGCCCCCCCCCCTTCCCCCCCCCTTTCCATTTGAATCTGCATTGATATAGAGAGCGAACGAATGTGTTGAATTGCCAGAAGTATTACAACAGCTTCTCGAGAAGCTAAAATCAGCTACCTGGATCCAAAACCGAGGCGTTTAAGGCGATAGGCCGGAATTTTGTTAGGAAGGATAAGAAAATTGCGCTGAAGAAGAGAGAGATTGGATAACTGTCGACATCACTTAGAGCACGAAATGATCGCTGTTGAGGGGTAAGACCACCATACCTACAATTAGCATTAGTCTGATAATATTTAGGTCAAGGACTGTACGTTGTCTACAAGAACTCATCGTGTCGGGAGCCTCGAGAGACTAAGACCTTTATCTCCTCACCCAAAGCATAGAATCATTGAGTGTAGGTATGAAGAACATAACCTCATTCTGGTACACCTAAGGTCTAGAGTTGGATGCTACAAATTTGTGTTCTTCATTGATGGACTTGATGAACTAGATGAAGATCATAATAAACTGGTCCGCCAATTATTGGCTTAGACATCGTTGAATCCAAGCAAACTGAAGATCTACGTATCTAGTCGAGGATGACTTTTTTTTTAGAGAGCGACTGTCGGATTACCTAAAAGTCCGACTTCATGAAATCACTTATAGAGATATAAGCAATTATGTCCACAGCGAATTATAGGCAATTAAAGAGTTGTCTCATCATCTTCTGAGAAAAAAAACCCCCGAAATTCTGGACCTAGCAGATAGAATCGTAGACAAAGCTGAAGGAGTCTTCTTGTGGGCTAAATTGGCCCTTCGAAATCTTCAACAAGGGTTGTTGCTCGAGGATTGAATTAAAGATTTACAAAAGCGAATTGTTGAGTTGCCGCAAGATATCGAAGATCTCTACCGAACAATATTTCAGTCCGCTCAAGAGCAGAGCTCCCGATCAGATCGACTCATGGCCATAAGAACTTTCTATACGCTTACACAATCGCAACCGCATCTACACAAGACCGGACGTGCACTCTAATTTACTCAGAATTGAAGGAGGCAAGAGCCCCTTCGAAAGACTGGAAAAGGAAAGACTCTCCTCTGCGGGTATCGCCGGGCAACTGAAGGCACTTGTTGATGTAACATCACAACAACTAAGGCCACAGTGGAGGCAATACACTCCAAGGGCGCCTCAGTGGCCGCGTTGCAGCTCAAGTGCAAAGATCTGGAGAAGGAGTTCGACACGTTGAAGGGGGAAAACCAGGTTCTCCAGAATGCTCTGGTTGAACAGCGGAAGTCCGCTGAGGAGGGCCTTGCCATACAGCTTGCTAAACAGAAAGATGCTAGCAAGCGAGAAATGGCGTCATTCAAGAACGCTGTCAAGGATGCTGCCGATAGAAAGAGAGCCGTCGAAGTCGAGGCTGTGAAGAGTAGCCTTGAGATGCAAAGGGCAGCCGAGTGTGAAAAACACAAGGCTTGGATTGAAAAACAATCCGATGCGGTGCTGCAAACACTCAACGTTGCAAATTCGTCTTTGACAGCTGCTGTTGAATCTCTGAAGCGAGAAGCAGACACAGAGAGGGCCAGGAACTTCGAGGACACCATGAGAGTGGTTGACTCACAGAGGATTGCAGCTATAAAAGAGGTCAAGGCCCAAGTTGAAAAGGAACATGTGGCTACTTTAGCACTCCTCAAGCAGGATCTGGTGTCGCAGAAGGATGCTGCAATTGAAGCTGCTACTGTAACGGCCAGAAAAGAGCTCGAGAAGAAGAATGCTGAAGTCCAAGATCTTCGCCACAAATGGAAAGCGGAGGCCAGCTCTTGGGACGAGAAGAAGCAGATCTTGGTCGATATCGCTGAGTGCTGTCATCGTGAGAAGGACACTGCTGAGGCCAATGCTGACAGGGCTCAAGGGGAGTGCGACTTGCTCAGTCAAAAATTGGCAAACGCTGAGGAAGACGCGAAACAACTCCGCCGCGAGAAAGAACTGTCCGAGGCCCAGCATCAAAAAGATGCTTACACTGCGGACCTAATGAGCTTGCTAGCGAAGAAGCTCAACGACATTGCTCTTGAGACGCAGTCCGGTCTCAATGAAAAGCTGGAGGTTACATTACCTCAGCTTGTGACTAAGGGTCTTGAGCAGAACTCGTCACTCTCTAAAAAGGTGCATGATCAGACTGTAGAGCTAGCTGCCCGAGCGACTCAGCTCGACGAGTTGAATCAGAAGATCATTGGCCTCACAAATCAGCCGCAGTAGCCACGCCAACGCAGACTCCCAACAAGCGGCCAAGACTTTCTGACGATGTCAGCTACTTAGAGAAGCATGTCTATAAGAACGTATGCGAGCTTTTAGTCACAGACTTGAGAAGCATTCATCCAGGGATTGACGACACATCCGGCATGACTGCCGAGTTCATTGTTGCTTCTCTGGTGCCTCTGCTTGCAGGCTATGCTACGAGGAAGAATTTCCTCAACTTCATGTTGTTGGCTGACGTGAACGCCCCGATGTGTGCCGAAGGCATCCGGGCACACGGCCACAATAATGAAAAGGTCAGGGAAGGGCACTGCTTCTGCACTGAAAGGCAGCAGTGCCTGCGCATTCAGCGTCAGACAGAGAACTTCCACGAACTCAAGATTCAGCTCGTTGACATTCAGTCAACTGAGCGAGGCGACGATTGAAACGTCGGTGCACCTTTCGTCGCAAGGCACTTCCAAGTTCCTTTCCACTTGCCACTTGACGCGTCATAATCGCAGTCAACTCGACAATTTAAACAAATGTAGATAGGCAATATAATTTCAGGATTGTGTTCATACTTTCTTTCTCTACATAAATTCATGACTGTCGTGATTTGAAGTGACATCTAATTGCAATGCCTCGTGATCTTATCCCTACTACCGCAACTCTCTAGTCTCCAGTCAACCGTCAACATTTCTGATCTGGAACGGGATTGGAAGTAAAATATACCCGCTACCGTCATAGCTAGTAGGCAACCAAAAGCTTAGAAGACATTGAAACAGGGCAGCAGTTCCTACTGCTGACCAACACCCACTCAAGATATCACATAGCACACACACAAAATGAAGCCTCCAGGGCAAAAGGAACGTATCTGGAATGAAGGGGTAGCCATTCTTGTATTCTGTGATGATAGCTAAGTGAAGCGAGTAGAAATGAAGTAAGTAATAGTAAATAAGTCACCTGACTGCTGGCAGGGGTAA